ATACTAGCTAACCCTAGCAACAAGCCATTTTGGTTGACCTATGCGTCACGTCAACATACATCGTTAGACTCAGGTCGATGTGGTGTAAAATGCCCACGAGATTCGCGATTACATAACCTGGAGCAATCTTCGTTACGCACGGTGACACCAAATTGGCACGTGTGTGACCAAATCCACGAGGAGAAAAAAGGTAAAAAAAATCCATCCATGGAGATCCTTTTTCCCCAAAATGGAGCATGTTTGTTAGGAATGGACGCTTCCATGAAATTATGAAAACTAATATTAATAAATCACAATAAAGGATACTCGCAGCTTAGCAAGTTCAATTATCTAATAACGTTGAATTACTGTGAGTGAAAACTAACATAAAATGGATTGTTCAAAACCCCAAAAAATTTTAAGTTTCATACACGATCGCCGTAAGTAAGTATTGTAGGCCAAATAGGATTACTGTGACTTCCACTCAGGAAATTAAAACCAATAGTGTTTAACTTAACATACAACATGTCCTAATCAGGGCAGTGTACCTCAAAAAGTTACGCTTTTTCTATCAGATTTTTCTTACGGCTTCTTTCTACTAGCCAATCATAAACTGACTCATCTAAGGAGGGGGTATTGTACATCGATCGCTTTGTCGATGTCCAATACATTGCTTATATTATAACATAACCTCTTTGATTTTAATATAGTTTCCAGTTATTTTCAATATTATCGACAATTTCCAAAGCACTCGTATTATCTATGATAACTTCCATTGAACTTTTGATTTTAGGATAACTTTCACTTGCACGACAGGCCAACCCACCAAACTTCCAATGAAGATATTATACACATGAGCGTATAATTGTAATGCGCCAGACAGATTAAACAAAAACCGGGGGAGGGAATGCAAACAAAAAATAAAGATACGAAAAATAACAACAAAAAAAATCAAGATGTTCGGTGATGAGCATGGCCGAGATAAAGTCTTTCGACGAATGTGATACGGCTTTACTCCACGTTTCACTCCACACCGAAGGGAATGATTCTGATGAGTAAGAACGGTCGAACCGATTATCTTTTCCATTAAATACGAGACAAATCATTATCTCACAAACATATTACAATACTTATATAACATTCTTATATTACATAACCGCGGTTTTCGTCATTATTCTTAGGTATCGCTACGGAAGCGAAATAGCTTTTCCGCGAGGTCGCAATATTAACTTAGCTGTCCTCACGTGATGAACGTCAAACTTAGAAACGCATCGTACCTCGGCAGGCATTTTCTCGGGAAGGCGAGAATTTAATGGTGACTTTGGCTGAGCGAAAATGAATCTCCATCGTCCCAAATTCGTTCGCACAACAGATGCAGCATATTCATAGCCGAAACCGCAGACACCACGGGGTAGCCCGCTGTGTCATCCGTCGCATCGCTCCGTTGAGTCGAGAGGGCAGGGACGCCCCTGCCTCCCGTTGCCGTCTCCATTCTTCCGCCGCGTCGACAGCAGCTGTGGCGCACGCGCGTTCGCGCGCACGCACCAGAGCCGGCGCCGCCACGCTACGCCGGCCGGCAAGCACGGAGCCGCGAGGTGTCGAGTCATGCGCAAGCCTCTTCGACCCTCCGCCATCGTATGCATATTGAAGACGTGCGTATATGCATATTCCTTCTACCCGAATATCCTGCAACCGACTCAGTCGCTACCACCACTTGCCCTCGGTTCCTAGAGAAACCATAACTGAGTTTATACATACAATTCAACAATGAGATCACGCACCAAGAGGTAGGGAAGGTTCCAAAAATAAAACTTGAAAACTCAAACTTCCCAACTAATTTGAATGATGTTAAAATAAGGTCCTTACTCTCATAAGCAAGTAGAGTAGTATTCTACAAAGAAAGGAAAGATGTTAAAGTTACTTCGCATCAACACTTCCCCACAGTAACAAAATAAATCATCGCGACTCAGTATTCAAATCAACGAACTGAAAAGACATTTTTATTACATTTTCTCCCGTTCCAAGTCAAGAAATGCTCTCAAGTCACCTAATTACTTTCAAGTCAAACTAAAACCCAATGAATTAGAGACCTGCCTATTCAACCAATGTTTCAAAAAATCTTAATTAGCAACTCTGATAAGAAACCTTGGGCATGCTGATGTATTACTTTGATGTATTCAACACATAGCACAAGTGTGGTTCGCATATGTACATCTCAATTTTAATTTATAAACAACTCAATCTTACACGTTCTCAAAGCCAGACCAGATTATTAATTACCCCACATTTATAAATTAAAATGAAATATTTTTAGAAGCAGAATATTCCTGCGTACATACAATACTTCCGATTGGGAATTACCTACAATACGAGCATTCACCGAATTGCTTTGGAGCATCTTCAACACAGCTCACACTTTTCTTAGTTCCATGAACGTTCGCAAACTTATTGCTCTAGACGTCGCACAAAAAAACTACTTCATGCAATTTTCACGCGCAACATACGTACGCACCGGCCGCCGCCGCTGCTCGAAGAGCCCGCCGGCGTTGACGGCCACACCCGCCCTCGCCTTAATTAGCCAGCTCCGCGTGGTGCCCTCTCGACTCCGCCGTCGCGCGCGCGCACACACACATACACACGACGGACGGATTCCCCCGACGCCGTCGAAGCTGCCGCGCGAGCACAAGCGACGCGCTGCTGGTCCGCCGCGTGGTCTAATCCAGCAATGCTCCACGCTTCATTGTGCGACGGGGAGCCGCCGTATCACGTGAGCACAAATAAAGGTCCAATGGTCAAGAAATATCGTACAACCCATATGCAATCCATATGCCAACGGAAGATGTACCAAAGACCTAATAAATTAACTAATAGCCTCTCAATCAAAAAAAGGACAGTTCAAAATTTTGAGCAAGGCAAAATTAAGGAATTCGTAATTCAATAGCATTGACGGTACAAAAAACAGGTTTCACCTCACGCTATAATGTCAACGTCACATTCACTCGTACACTACAGCACATTCAAGAAAGCTGTCAAAAGCATGCTGCACAACTCGTGTATCGCACAACTTACATCCCTCCGCTCACTTCACACTTTCATTCAAACCAAATAAGATTTTCGAATCAATGTACTCACCCACTCTGCCTTGCTGTTGAGGTTGTAAAACTCGTTTCTCTGCAGGGCCGGCAGGAGCGGGCGGCTGCTTGGTTTCTGGTATTTTTCCCGTAATCACTAAAGCTGCATTTTTATTCACAGTCCACGGATTAATCTTTGGCAAAGGTGCTTCTACATATTTAACTTTCTCAGGAACTTTATCCGCTTCTTCCGAGCTTCCGTTTTCACTATTGGGGCCCGACCGCTTCTCGTCGTGAGCTGTCCGGTTCTCTAAACACACGCCATTCACAGGTCCATTATGTAACGTTTTGCCAGGGGTCGAGTCCGACCTATCAGGAACTCGTCGACCGTTTCGACCCGACGGAATTATTTGCGGAAATTCTTCGTTTATATTGCTGCTGCTCGTTGTGGAAGGATGCGGGGGCTGTTGCCTCGCACCTTTCTGCAAATTACATTTATTACGAACAGATGGTTCTCTTGAACTATGTTCTTTGGAAGTTTGATGTGGCATAGCATTTATGTTTTCTTTATTATTTTCAATGTGTTTAAAGTTTAGCACAGCGTTAGCGTAAGATGCTCCTCCTGTCTCTCTGCTTTGAGTACCATCGCTCGACTGAGAAGCAACTTGAGCGGCCATTTTGCTCAAAAGCAGACAAGCGCAGTTTCACCACGAGGTGAGACGCAATTCGTATTGCTACAGTGATTCATCAATACATGTAAATAAAACCACCAATAGCGCCCCCTCGAAAATCTCGATTTGTTCTTAGTAACCATACACACAATCCACAAGTATATAAAGCAACAACATTAAAACAAACAATATGTTATCCGTCGTTGTCTATAATGGAAGCATGGCACACCTTCAAAACATGCAAACAAACTAATAATTTCAATTGTTTTAAATTCCACTCCACAATGTAAATGCTGCCGCTGTGTTCACTTGTCTCTCTCCTACTGTCCTGTTCAGATAAATCTACCAAACTTCACGTACTTACGAACTCCTTTCAGTCCGCTTCGAGACACCGTTCAACACATTAAATGGCTTGCAGCTTCCTGCATCACCGACAGCCTTCAATTGCACTGGTGAACGTAGATAACTGCTTAGTCAATGCGGTGATTCTAAGAAACACTCAATGAAGTCTTAAGAACTGCGAAACATCGTTTAAAAACCGCATATTCCTACATTTGCATCCCTACGCAACACGCACACATGTTGACTGACGCTCAATCCGTGCTGTTTCTTCGCATTGCCATAGGTATCGCTAGTGTACAGGGACACTAGCACGTGGACGTCGCACGAACACCAAATTTTCCACGTTCTGCGCAGCATAAAAATATTAATCAATTTTAGCACTCTCATCATAAACTTCCAACGCATTGAAGCACACATTTTTTTAAAAAATTTACATTTAAAGTAGTTAATTAAAAAACGTAATTTTCCTACTTATCTGTGGACAGCATAATTTTTTATTTACAAAACTTGTATGAAACCATTTCCTTATGTTGCATTTTCTTTCTATTGTCAAAAACGTGTTTTATTCGATAACTTAAAACAATGGAGAGTACAGAAATGATTAGCAATATCATCAACAATTAGTATTTTAATGTGGCGAACAGGCTGCTCTCGGTGTTGGATCTTAATAAAAATACTCCCCAAATAAATTCTGTATTGAAAATGACAATCTGTCAATTTCTAGGTTATTATACTCTATCCAGACTTATCAAATCTTCGATGACAATTTGCTTTCTAGATGCATATATTCTATATGTAAATGTGTTACCACTTAATGTGTTGTAAGTACATAATTTTGTACTTTCTCCTATAAATCATATAAAATGTTTTTAGATGTATAATAATTTTTTAACATGAAATAAAAGAGAACAGTCAAAGGTAATTAAGCACAACTACCTTGTATATAAATATAATTTTTAATACTCATAAAATTATAAAATTACATTCACACACATTTTTAATACCTGTACAAAATTACAAAGCACACTTGCTAAGCACAACATAGAATGTATTGATTTGTCAGTCTTTCATAATTACTATTCATTTCAACATTAGGTTTGGGTCAATCTTTTATATTCTAGCACCTTTCCTTCACACCAGCTACTCATCACACATTGTAAAACTGATAATGGATACTCATGTTATGAAACTGAATGCAGTAAATAACTTCACACAAGTACCTGAAACAGAATCTTGACTTCATAAACCAATTGTTGAGAAAGTGGATTCCAATTTCTGTACAATACTTTTTATAAATATTTATCTACAAAAATACTTGTATTATATACACATGACCAATTCTATGATAATCAAACAGGATAAAAAGCCTGTCAGGAAATATATTTTACATGCAATATTTAAAATTGATACTTTTTCATGAGCACTTTTAAGACTGCCACTAATTGCAACATGTTATAAAAGTCTATTTAAATTGACATTTTTGTGACTAGACCACCGACGATTACTATTAATCAGTAGTAGCAATTAAAAACATTATCTGTTCCATCGAGTCTTAGGAACAAAACACAAACAAAATTGAAAAAAATGATATGACTTAAGTCCCACATTATAATATACAACATAACACAATAATTGATAAGTTTTAATACCCTAAAACTAAAGCAAAAGAAAATTCTCAAAATGAGGCTTCATCTACATGATAACTTTTAGCTGTTTGTTCATCATAACAATGAAAAAAGAATTTTTTCAGCAATCTTTGTTCCCACACATTTCTTTTAACTGCAGTGAACCATTAGAAGATTTAAAATTTATTATGTTACAACTTAACACCATGCATCAACAAAGGTATACAGATTATTTTCAGATTATGTGTAAACATAATCTGAAGACAGACACATCTACACAAAACTTGTATGAACAGATGTGTTTAAATTTATGTGCACCGATGACTCCTTTCTTCCCAATTGTATTTTGTCTTCAGGCGTTCAAAAGATTCCATAATAGCTTTTCTGCAATCAAACCAAAATATTAGAAAATATTTAAAAGAGAAATACTTTCATTCAATCATTCACCTACGTAGTTGGAACACAGTTGACAAATAGAAAATCTACAATATATTAAATCTTCAGCTATTAGAATTTACATTTCCTATATTTTCTCCTGTAATAAACCGTGAAAATACTTTATTCAATCAGGACTACCAAATTTCAGGAATCTTACTTTTTCCTTAAACAATATTTTCATTTACATGTCTTTTCATAGATGCACTAATCTTCCATTAATCAATTCTAATGAACATTTATGTTACCTTTAATTATAAATTGTACAAGTGCAATTGTCCTGTAAAAGAGGGTCCCAAGTAATTGTAATGCTTTGAATCACACAATATTGATCATATAGAAAATGAGTGTAATCTCAAAGTGTGTTAACTCCCAAATCTGACTTCAACCAGAAGAATTTCCTGGTTGAATAGTCTAAGTACTCAAGTTTGTAAGTAAATAAATACTCAAGTTTGGTTTGGTTTGTTTTAAATTCCTTTTTAAAAAAATATTTTTTTATATACATTTTCTCTCATGCATATCTCATACGAAGTATGTACGTAAATCCATTCCGTACCTTGACAAAAATAGTATATATAATAAAATTTAAAAAATGGTACATCAAAGAGTTATCACAAGTTTTTCTGGTAATAAAAAGAATGTCACTTAATATTTTAAATGAATGTGTGTTAATTTTTTTTTTTTATTGCCAACTTAGAATTGCACATTTTCTGCATTTCTTTTTCTAATGAAATTATTGCATTTTAATTTTGTATACTTCTTGTTAAATTTTCAAGTTTATTGATTTAAAATACTTCACACAAAATTTGGTAAAATGAACATAAATTAACTGTGCACTTGACTGAACTCTCAACAATGAACTCCATTAAGAATAATACATTTCCCTCTCAAAGTACAGTTAAATCAAGATTTCACTGAACATGATCACTTCTCAATTTCAAAAAAAAGAACCCCAATTGCAATTATTGATAATTTGTATCATCAAATCGCAGTGCATCTCTATATGAGAATTGTACATAGGTCACTATTGCACTATCATATTTTAATACACCTCAAAATTGAGTGGCAGTGATAAAGCCATCACCTGTAATTCTAATATTTTTTGGAATTGTGTCAATATTATGTAATGCAACTGAAATACTAATAAATTAATTTACCTGAATGTATTCTGACCCAACACGTATGCAGAAACATGACCAGCATTCAACATTCTGATTTCTGCCCCAGGCCAAATTTCATGTAAAGGTGTAGATGATTCTCTAGGAACATATGCATCATCCTTTGCACAAACAGCAATAATTAGCGAAGTGTCAACAGGAATATCAAAGTTTTGCAAGTGAGTACATTCATCCATAATTCCCCTCATGAACTGATAAGCTTCACGATCTCGATGTTTTGTCAATGAACAGCTTGCATTTTCTAAAAAGAATAAAAAAAACAGAATAAGAGCAATTCTTATTAAAAATTATTCTTGAGTAATTAAAATGAATACAATGAGATATTCTTATGAGATGGAATAAAAATAAAGTGATTATATATAAACACACATACAAACTCATTCTTGTTTTGCAAGTTTCTAAAGTAAAATTGAGATCCAAATAAGCATAACCGAAGAGGAAAAGATAATTAAAATTTATTATTAATTTATCTTTATGAACATTACTAATATTTATTGTATAGAAAATGTTCAGTTCTTTTCTTCACTATTAGCCCATTTAACAACTGACAGTATGCTTTAAACACATTCAAACGTCTTGGATATCACTGCTCATACACAGTACTTACACTAAAAAAGGTTTTGAAATTTACAAGATACAAATCAATGAAATGAGCATAAAACTATAATATCTAGTAAAAGAATTTGTTTCAGACGAAATTTTAGAGCTATTTACCATACTGGTATTATAGATTGGATATTTAAAAGTCCAATGCCCAAGTCCCTTTCAAATGTCCACTGAAATAAATGACCACAATCATTTATTACCTTGAGGCCGAATGTAGAAAAAAAGGTCTAACATCATGTTTTAAACAAGTTCTTCCTTTTGGATGCAATTGAATTTTTAAATGATATTCCTCATGCATACATATCTTTTGATATTATTATTTTTTTGTTCGCAATGTACCGCCACACTATATTTTCTGTTATTTTTTAGTTTATTGTCTTTTGTTCATGTTTGACATTTCTTTTAACGTTGTTCTCTCAGGTAGCCTTTCTAAAATTTCTCAATTTTCTGTTGATACTGTGCTTTTTTTCTTTCTCATATATGAATGTATATATGGAGCAATATATATAGTATAGAGAAAGTTATGTAATGCTGCGAAAAATTGATTTTGAGATTTCAACGAAAATACACATTTTGAGGTCTTCTGATAACAAAAAAGTTTTTTTTTTCTTTCTTTCTTTCTCAAAACGTGTCTCTCCATTCTGTGTCTGCGAACACCACTAGCTCCAGAGTGTTGCCAATTTCTATATCTCACCTCACAAGTGAGCTAACTGTAAATAAAAGCACTGACAAAATGAGTGCTTCAACCTAACTTGCAGTTATATAACCATAAATGGCCAAACAGCAGCTGTCAAAGTGGTCCCTTCTTATGATAATCTCTAACTCAGAGCCTGGGCAAGTTGTCCTGCTTCCCCTCCCCCACCACTTTTAGTTGCCTCTGTGCATCCATCACATGTCTGATACAAGGTCCATTTGAAGAAAAGAAATTCTTACACAAATTTTTATGTAGTATTTTTAATGCAACATAAAATCTGAACAAGTATATAATCTATTTTTAATTTGCTCATACCCTCTTTTTGTAAATGTCAAAAAGATTAAATGTCAATGCAAATTACATGTTTTTGCAACCAAACATTGAACATTTGAAATATTTGTGTATATATTTTTATGAGTTTTTTAGGGATAAAAGCTTGCATAAACTTCCCAGACCTAGTTCTCATTTTGCAACTGAATATTGAAATGAATACTTAATGACTAGAGTCGTGAAGTCCTTACAGTGTTGGCATAGAATGTCAATACAATATATTTTTACTTTCCCATATGCAAAGTAATAAAGGTACTTAGAATAGAGAAAGTAATGTAATGTTCTGGATAATTGATTTCGAGATTTCAATGAAAATACACTTTTTGAGGCCCCCAATACCAAATTGTGTGTGTGTGTGTTTTTCCCAAAACTTCCATCCTTCTATAAACAACACTAGCTCCTACCAATCACAGGATTTTTCTAAAATTAATCCCCATTGATCTGTTCTGTCCCAACCTACTGTGATTTAGAAAATAATTGAAATTTTGATTTTACTTCAAACAAAACCCATTTTCAAAATTTCCTTAAAAATTGCACCAATTTTTTTCTTTACATTTCTTCATAGAATAAAATGCATTCATGAACATGGCATAGGTTCAATTTTCATGGTCAACTCTGAAATTTTGAAAATTGCTAGTTTAACATTTTTTGATTCCCTTGTTCTACACCTTATTGAAGATAAATATTTTTCCTACAAATTAAATTTGACCTTCAGAATTACATTTTTAATTAATGTTATACAATTTTTAAAAAATATTAATAGTTTTGAGTGAAATACTTGCATTTTTAAAACAAGATATCCTCAAAAAAATCCTCCAAATACATCATCATCATCATGAACGGCAGAATGAAAGAGGGGGCCTGTTCGTGGTTAAATAGTAGACCTGAACTATTTCAGTCTTCCAGATGTTTCTACATGACCACCTCTTGGTCTTCCTATTTCTCTCTGTCCGAAGTGGCTTATATTTTAGGGTAGCCTTTGGGAATCTTCCTTCTGTCATTCTTTTAATATGTTCCAGACATTTTTTCGTTCTTTTTAACTTCCTCTGTTATGGTGGTTGTCTTCAATCTTTTACTAATGTCTTTATTTCTCTGTCAACTCAGTATAGTATACTTAAGGTGTCTTGGGAACCACATTTGAACTGCTTCGAGTCTTCAGTTGTCTCTTTGTATTAGGATCCAGGTTTCTAATCCGTATAAAAGCATTGGTTTGGCTGTCATGTGTATTTTTAATTTGATTTTTTGTGTCATGTTCGCCCCAAAGTGTCTTTTAATTATACCCTTTATTCTATTACATTTCAAAATTTTGTGTTAGAGGTCCTGGGAGTTAAGTCAAAAGACATTGCCTAAATATTTGAATTTTGAAACTTGCTCTATTATTTCCCCTTCAATAACAATCTTCACTCTTCATAGTTCCTTTTCTTGGATTGTCATTGTTTTTGGGTCATGTTGTTTTTTTTGTCAAGATTTTCATGTCACTTATCTTCGCTATTATTCAGTTCACGAGATGCTATATGGAGTTCATCTTCTGATTCAGGCAAAGTTATTTGGTCTTCTGCAAACAGTACTGTTTGTATAATTTGATTTTTGTTTGGTATACCTTAATTACTGCCTTCTTCCATTCTTTGATGAGACTTGGCATAAATATTGTAAAGGTTGGACAATAGGTCGCATCCTTATCTCAGTTCTCTGTGGAAAATTGGATCCTGCATCCAGAATAAGAATATGAGCACTGAAACGGGGCCAAGGAATACCAACGGCAAATCTGTAAAGGTACAGGACTGAGAGATAGGTCCATGCTATGTCTGGGGTGCATGAAGGTGCTCTTCATTACACCTCATTGTGGTAGGTACTTGGAGAGGCCTTGGTAGTTTCGTACATGTCAAAGAGAATTGGAAACTACCTATTACAAGAAAGTATGTGGCATTCTGTGACAGTACTAGTTTGAGCTTAATTCAATAAATTATTAATATCTTGTATTTGGAGTGAAATTATTTGTATTTGTGTATTTATATCCTTATACATTCTGCAAGTTCTATTTGTTTACGTTTATAATACTTGAATTATGTTGGAATTATCAATTCAACTTAAGTACAACTGTAATTATCAACCACTTGGAGAAGAGGCTCTTCAAGACACCTGACGACCCTGTAAATGATTCAACTAAAAATTGTAATTGTTTACTGAATGTAGTTGCACGTCCATCCTCTGTGTAGAACGTGTTATAGTAATGGAAAAGGGGCCCCAGAAATGTAGTTGGCATACCTGTAGTTTAAGGCTACATGTGCTTATGCAAACTAGTATTTGAATATGAAGATGATAGTGACAAAAATAATGACCATGATTTTTGTAAGTCCTAATAAGACAAAACCGAAAGCCCAGGCAAAAATAATTAACCTTTTCAAGACAATTTTCTAGTCAATAACACAACTTGTGGATTTATTTTGACTGAGTAGAAAGAATTTGTTTAAAATGAAAATAATTCTCAAGATGTCACTTCAAAATTGGGTCATATTAACTTATTTCCAACAATTTCTTTAAACAAGAGATTTCAGACTTTTTTCAACGTATCTTACACATTTCCAACCAATTATTTCTAAAAGTGTACATTTTAAAAAGTATGTACATTGAAGAAATGTATAGAATTTAAAATTAGAATTGTGTACAATTTTTAATGTTCTCTATGAAAATGACGTTTCCTCTCTCCGAATGTTAAAATAAAGAAAATCTCCTTTTCCCAAGGATAACAGATGATCAATTTAAATACAATCTCTGTATAAAATAATACCCACAAGACAAACCAAAATTTTATCTTTTTTTTAATTTACAATTTCTAGACGTTCATTACATAAGATATTACTTACAACTATGTTGGATTATTAGACCATATTTATCTTACTTGAAACTCTTTTATATAAGAAGTGTCTCACTTCATCATTTGAAAAACATAAAATAGGACATCACTGAAAAAACTATTTGTTAACTGTTGAAGAGGGATTCCGGTAATCTGATATGTAAAATTTAAATTTTGTTTTCACTGATTTTTTTGCTCCTATCATGCTTATCAGAGTAAATAATAGGTATAATCGTTTTTTCAGGGCTTACAAAAATTGACATTTCAAGGTAAGGAGAAGCTTCGTTCTGGTCTTTCTGAAAAGAAAATTGGTCCCTTGTACACACTCAAGTATATGTTTTCCAGATTAAGTAAGAGAGGATGAACCCTTTTAAATATTTTTTATTAAAAAGTTAAAAAATGTATGGCCTTATTTTTCAAAAAAGATAAACAGATACAACGGAGCCGAGGTAACTCAGCTTTTTGTTATATTCAAATGTTGTTATTAAGGGCAGTTGCTGGCTGGATGAGTCAAAAGACACATTCGTATATTTTTTTGTCCCTGAAAAACAAATGAGGTAAGTTTTTCAGTGATTGGAGCTTAATTTCAGCAAATGAGATAGAAGGATAACACAAGTGTGTGTTTCTCCGTCCCCGGGGATATAAATGCCTGACTGTGAGTTGAGTATGATCGGCAAATTAAAGTAAAGTTTCTTATTCAAAATGTTTTGGTCAAATATGTCACATTACAGATTACGTAGAATGATGCAGACCAAACTCAGCTCATGCTGCGATAGAATTTTCTTCCTTTAAATGATTATCCAAAAATATTTTTGCTTGAAAGCTTTATGGCAATTTAAAATTAATAGTTACTAATAAATTAGGGCTTCATTTCTCTTTTCATTGATTGTGTCTGTTGAGTATATATAACAGTACATCTTAAAATTATTACAGAATGATTTCTTGCATGATTTATTTTTGAACTCTGCAACTATTTCTTTGCAGAAATGCATAGCTGAGTGCGAAATACTTACTGGGTAATTGCTGTTCAGATCTTTTCTCAGTTAATTCAATAAGTTTCTCTTTTGTTTTATAAAAATGTTTCAAAAAAGAAAACTTATCTATTTTACTAGATTCTTGCTTTGCAGTCTCCGGTAAGGATTGTAATTTTTCTTTACTTTGATCATCTAATAGTTCCACTGTTTGTTTGGAAACTGTTTCAGATGGAACATATTGCTCTTTAAAATTCTCTTGCACAGCAGCTTGGACTTCCTTGAATGTTGTAGCCTGAGGTGAAAGACCTGCTGAAATAAAATTGGGAACATTTTTCCCACTGAGTGGTCTATTTTTTTCAGATGTGCCTGATTGTGCATTGGAAGGAAGTAAGTCTGAAGAACGTGGCATGAAAGTAATTTCTTCTTTTCTTTGTTTGTCAAGTTCTTCCACTCGAGTCATGCTGTGTGGATAATGCTTTGCAAATTCTTGTCCTGCTCGAAATGCATCCTGCACAAACAAAACAATTATTAAATCTCTTTCTGCCTCATTTCATTTTCTATATTATTTGATTATTTGGTACTTTCCTACCTCCTCTTTGTGAATTATATGACGTATTTCTTCACACAGAGCAACGTCTTCAAAATACTGAGATTCTAGCAAATCCCAATTGATCGAACCACTCATTACTCCCTATAAGAAAGATGTTAAGTTGTTTCATTTATTTCAATGCATTTGATTCAATAAAAGTAATTTACTTTTAACAAGAAAAAATACCTTAACACAATTTACAGGATGAAATTAAATCATAAAAAAGCATAAGCATCAATTTCAAATAGAAGTCTGCTTCCTTACTGGTTGGCCTCAATAAAAAATAAATACTCTCACATCTTTTTTTAAACAGTATATGTGAAACACACATGTGAATGGCACATTAATTTAATAATTTAACACTAGTATCCTTTCTCCTTTCTGACAATTGATGAAAAGATTTTCAAAAAAAAGCTTTATTGTCCATACGTTGACACTATTTCACATAATATTTTACATGCAACTTCACTTACACACGTGCACGCACGAACACACACTCGCATACACACACACACGGCCACACACATGCAAACTAGGACACAAAAATGTCAGACCCAAAAACTTGACACATGTTATTCTAAGTATTTCAACATGCTGAATTTGAATCTGAATCTCAAGCCAGAATTGCATCACCACTGTCCAGTTTTCTTCATCATGAAAAACCACTGTAAAATTGTATTTTTGTTTTCAGGGGGTTGCTATCACAAAGATAATTTAAATCAATATTAAAGGGTGAAATGTAGTTTAAAAAATTTAAACATATATAAGAAGATAAAAAACATTGATAAATTGATTTAAATTCATGGAAATACTTTTTTTTTTATATTCAATTACAATTTTTAACATACAAATTTTTTATCTCCGGGGGACAGACCAACTATACCGCAATCTTCTTTGGAGTACATGACATAAGTACTGTAGGATATCGCAACGCACACAAAAGGTGAATTAATAAAAAAGAAATCTCAGACAGAAAAATAAAATTAAACCAATAAATGTAATGACAATGAACTGATCAAAATGTTTTAATAGATTTGAAAATCAAATATTCATGTCAACTGTGAATTCTCAAAATTGGAATAACAGTTAATGCTGGTACAAAAAAAATAAAAATCTGTTGATTAAATGCTCTAGAGCTTATGAATCTTTTGTTGTAAGGAACAAACCATTGTACCAACTATGTATAAATTATTGTTAATCTAACAAACTTAAGTACTTATGAAGACTGTAGGGAGAGTAACTGAAAGCTAAGAAAAGGAATAATACAGAATGGGAAAAGAATGGAAAGGGAGTAAATAAAAAAAAAACGTTTCACTGTATTTCACAAAACATGAAATGCTGAAGTTAAAATGTTTTAGCTTTAGAGGTGAGTTGCTCTGCTAGTATAAGGCATACCAATAAGGTTTGCATCAATTTGCAAGGCAAAAATCAATTCACTATTTCATGAAAGAAGTAAATTCCACATGACAGTAAAAGAATTCAAATCAGCAATAATCATAAAGCATAATTCAATGTTCATATAATTCGTATGAATTGAATTACATTAGATACTTTTGGAAAGAAAAAGAACAGGTGACAACTTCACTGAAAATTAGAAATTTTATGAAATTTCAATGAAGTTTGAATGTAAAATAATATAAGAATTGATGTAAAAGATTGCTTTAAATAACCATAAAGAAAATTTCAAGATTTAAAACCCTATAATGACACAATTATTTTTTGAAATAAAATTCAATGACAAATGCATCCTAAAATTGAGAAAACAAATGCTACAAATCGTCACAATATTTTGAAACTATTAGCAATAAATTAGTAAAATTCTAATAAATGGACTTAAACTTTTATAGCACCCATCTTTCACAAAACTCAATAAAAGTTTTTGAAACATAGCTTACACTTTGCAGTCTATAACAGATTTTTAGACCCATTTCACAGAAAATGTTTGCTAGACATAATTCATGATTATCAATCATGATATTTAATCAATTCTGCTTTATAGCAATAATGCCTAAAAGATTCTCCACCTTTAAATACTTATGTCTCCACACACATAAACAAACATTTTCCTAAACATCCACAAATCACCAAAACATTGCTCACCATAATACATACGTACACACAGATAATACCAATTAACAAGCATATTAGCATACATATACACATAATATCAATTAACAACCTGGCGTTTTTGTTAGGTGATATTAAAGCTATTGTGTCTGATAAAAAAGACACAAATATATTTTCAAGTTTTCTAATTATACCAACTCCTAATTCTATAATAATGGAATTATCACAATATCAAAAGATTGTGTCCTTACATACTAAAATTTAGAGAAAAACATTTGAAGCTACCAAGAGAAAATGTTGCCAGAGTGGTTCTGGAAGGATCATCTTCACTTCAACTACGACAGAAACTACTAAAATTTCAAGAAACTTCATAATATATTATGAAATATTTGCGTTTATGAACGCAAAAATCAAAAACATCTTTAATGTATACATTACATTACACAAATACGAGAACCCTTTAACACAACACACAAATTGAAAGGTTAATGAAAGTGAAGCACTTAATACAGTAGTAAGTGGACCCAAGCTCAATTTGCTTAAGAAAGACTTGACACCTGTTTCTCTATGCATCTGAAGCAATGTGGCCCCCCTCCAGTTAAAAAAACACACTGAAATTGTAGATTACGAATTTCAAGGTGGATTTCTGTGGTCTGACACCTTTTATTTTTGGTGTGTGTATGCCTGTGTAATCGATATATTTATGTTTAAAAATGAAAAGATGACAAATTTTGAGATATTGATTAAAATAAAAATTGTACAGTAATCACAGATGGAATTAATCTGGAATCTTAAAAAAAAAAAAAAACTATATCATTACGTCTCTGATTTCTGTGTAATTTTTATTTTTAATTCTTTTATTTTAATGAATATCATCAAAATTTGTTTGTCATTTTCATTTAGAGACAAACAACAATTATTATTTGTATACACCTGTATACACCATCATATAAATATCACATGAAATGTGCTAACATTGTATACACAATAAAGGGAGAAGTGGAAATAAGAAAGGCAAATCTGCCCCCGGGATAAAAATGTTTTATGTTGAAAATCTTAATTGAAGCTTAGTAATAAATGTTTTTTAGCTTCTTATGCAAGTTTTAAATTTTTTAACCGCATTACGTCTATGAAATTGATTTCTTTTATTCTTGCAATTTTCTATAGACGATTAAGATGTTTCAAGAATTTTTTCAGGCTTTTATATCCGATTTTGACCTCTTCAATCAACAAAAAAAGATGAGGGGGAAAAAACAAAACAAAACATTTTTCCTCGGTTTTTAAAATTCTTGTATTTTGACACAGATCATAAAAAAGGCTCAATACAAATTATAGCCCTGTAAAATCTCTATAGTTTGCACCAAAATTTGCACCTTTTATCTTACAATATGCACCCTTTTCTTGCTCACCAATTAGCATTTTTCTTAAAATTACGTTGTGTTTTATTAATTTTCATAATTTTTGTGTTTTCTTGTTATTCTAAAATATAAATAATGAAACCCAAAATTGTAAGAATAACATTATAATCTATTGCAATATGGATATTGAAAGAATTAAGATTTTAACTAAATATAATATGAGTTTATAAACAAAATAGAGCAATGTTACAAATATGTAATGTTAAATATTATTTTTATATTATAAAAATAATAATCAACATTAATTATTTTAATGTTAAAATGCAAAAAGTCTGCCATCCACTTTATGACAGAATGACACACATCAATCTACGATAGACACATTGAAGAGCGTAGAAGAAGAGCGTACTTCCATATAACAAGATTCAGAAAGCTGTAAGGAGAATAAATGGCTGCTTTATCCATCTTACACATCTTACACACTTACAATGATCCATCTTACACAGCGCAGATCAAAGAGAAGTGAAAATAGAATTAATTGAAATTTCCAGTCGACATAAACATTGTTTCTTGTGCTTTTCAAGCACTGAACTAATTAAGGTTCCTTCCGAAACTTATATTCTATTTTGTAGACACACAAGTTTTTATACCAATTGATGAAAATTGCAGCTGCAGTACACACTTAATTCAAAAATGTTGCTGTTTATTGAACATTTGCATAATTTTAGAGTATTTCCATACATGTACCAAGTAGAGGAAAAAGAGTTGTGATTAAATAATCTGTCAAATCAAAGCAACAAAGGTCCTCTGGTAAGGTGGATAAGGTATAAAAACACATTACCTTTAGTTACAACTTTAATTCATTCAATATTCAACTTACAATAGGTTATAATATTATTCTTACAATTTTCTTTTTCAATTTTAACCTTTTCTTATAAATATAAAACAGAAAAATTATGAAAATTAACTGTCGGGTGCAAATTATAAGACAAAAGGTTGAAATTTTGGGAAACTGTAGAAAAATTTACAGAACTAAAATTTGTATTTAGCCATTTTTATGAATCAGAAGAGGAATTATTGAATGTGTTTTTATGAATCATGAAAGAAAAACACATGAAATATTTTTAAAAAAATCAAGGAAAAAAGTTTTTTCTTCTTCTATTTTCCCTTCAATTTTGTTGATTGTAAGGGTCAAAATCATATATAAATGCCAGAAAAAGTTCTCGAAACATTAGCTAACAGAGAAAATTGTTTAAAGAGGTTCACAAACAAAACAAAGTTTACAAAACCTTCAAAGACATCATTTACAATCTGTCAATATCCAATTATATCAAAAAAAAAATTTCCACCTCATAAATGAGAATGAAAGAAAAAAACATGGAAACATGGAAAACAAAGAAAAACTAAACATTTACAATTTTACAAAATTCAAAGGGTCTTAGCGAAAATATGACTTTTGCAACAGAACTATTTTCATGCTTCTTCATTCAAACAATTTCATTGTTTTTAAAGTTTGAAGGTGATTTTGATGTAAATTTGGGCTTCAACGGAAGCATCCAGCAAAAGCAAATCATGACTGTCAAATGCCTCAATGTCAAAAAAGATCTCAAGAAATATTCTAGAATTTTAGGAGATAATGTGGTTGTATGCAGATGTTATTTAAATGGGGAGAAGAAC